TTCTGAAAGTCTGTCTGTGTTCTCTTGCATTTGTGTCTGCAAATTCAAGATCATCCAGCTGCTCCCACATTGTCCACTGAATTCCATTTCTCTTCCCCTCAGTTGTTTCCCTCATGACCCAGTCAATAGCAAGAAGGAAGAGGAATGGTGACAGAAGACATCCCTGTTTAAAGCCTGTCTTGACTTCAAAGCTCCGGGAAAGCTGGCCTGCATGCATGACTTTACCCAAGGTAACCTCATAAGATTTCTTGATAAGGTTTATGATCTTTGTGGGGATTCCATAGTGTTCCATTAATTGCCACAGTGTTGTCCGATCTAAGCTGTCAAAAGCTTTTTCAAAATCAATGAAGTTCATGCGCAGGGATGTGTTCCATTCAATAGACTGTTCAATAATGATGCGTAGTGTTGCTATGTGGTCTGTGCATGAACGATCTTTCCTGAAACCTGCTTGCTGGTCCCGGAGCCTCTTGTCCACAGCTTCCTGGAGACGGTTGAGAATGACCCGATTAAAGACCTTACTGGGCACTGAAAGGAGGGTAATCCCTTGGTAGTTGTTACACTTCCTTAGGTCACCCTTCTTTGGTAGTTTCACTTTGACCTCTGCCCATTATGTGGGTGTCTCTTTGTCCTCCCAAATTCTCCCAAAGAAGCTGTAGAGCATGTCTGTAGATGTGTTTATATCAGCTTTAAGGGCTTCAGGTGGAATATTGTCAGGGCCAGCAGCCTTGCCGGTTTTCAGATGTTTGATTGCAGCTTTTATTTCAGTCTTTGTTGGTTTGTCACACTTGATGTTTAGCGGTGTCCTGGTCTGAGGAATGTGTGGCCTCTCTGTTGGTGGTGGTCTGTTCAGGACCTCTTGGAAGTGCTCTACCCATCTCTCGAGCTGCTCTTCCGGGGTTGAGAGCGGTTGGCCATTCTTGTCCATGATCGGTTTGTTACTTTGTCGATGTGTCCCAGACAATTTCCTTGTGATGTTGTACAGTTCTTTCATGTTTCTTTGAGATGCTGCAAGTTCTGCCTCCTTAGCTAGCCTCTCTACCTGTGATCTCTTGTCCCTCTTGATGTTCTGCCGCACTTTTTGGTGGAAAAGGTTGTATTCCTTTTGAGCCTCTGCTTTTTCTGATCTTGTTCTTGCATTGTTCACTTTTTCCTTCACCTTCCTCCTCTGCTGGATTAAGTTTAAGTTTCTGGTGTTATCCATTCTTTGTGATTTTGGGATTTTCTCCCCAGGGCCTCCTCGCATGTTGAGCTCCAAGCAGCTTTAAGGTGTTCCCACTCTTGATTCGTTGTCCATTCTTCCTTCTTTCTGAGCTGTATCTCTGCGCTTTTCCTTGAGAGAATATCCTTGAACTGTTTCGTCACTTGAGCATTGCTGAGGTAGTCAGTGTTGTATTTTGCTCTTTGACCCTTTTCTCGCTGATATCTCTTCAGCCTTAGCTTGAATTTCCCTACCAGAAGATGATGATCAGAGGCTGCGTCTGCCCCCCGTCTTGTCCTGACATCTTCCATAGTTCTTCCGAACTTTTTGCTGATGCAGATGTGGTCGACTTTTTTTTCCGTGACATGATCTGGTGACACCCAGGTTGTTTTGTGGATTTTCTTTTGTTTTGTGGGGAAATACACTCCCCCCAATCACCAGATTATTGTTCACGCAGGTCTCTGCAAACATCTCGCCATTTTCGTTCATGGTTCCCACTCCATGTTTACCCATCACTGTCTCATATCCCTCGTTTTGGCCTCCAATCTTGGCATTAAAGTCCCCCATCAGGATAATGATATCCCTGTCTCCAATACTACTGAGTAGGTGGTTTAAGCTGTCACAAAACCTCTCCTTGACCTCCTCACCTGCAGCGTTGGTGGGTGCGTAGCACTGGATTATATGGGCTTTCACTCTCCTGTTGCTGGTATTGAAGGTTGCTGAGATGATGCGAGAGCTGATGGGTTTCCATGCAGTTAGGGCCTTTCTAGTGCCTTTCGTCATCATGATTGCCACTCCCTCCGTATGGTTGGCTGCCTCCTCTTCATGTCCAGAATAGATAATGGACTGGCCACTGGTCAATTTGACCTCACCCGACTGCGTCCATCTTGTTTCTGCCAGGCCCAGGACTGAGAGGTTGTAGTACTCCATTTCCTTGGCAATGGTTGCAGCCTTGCCAGCCTGGAACATGGTTCTGATGTTCCATGTCCCCAGGGGGATGGGTGTTCTAGGCGTCAGAAGGTGTGTCAGATTAAGAGCGCCCTTGCGGGTTTGGCTGGTAAGCGTCATAGTCCCCATTACTGGGGCACCTTCTTCAGCCAGGTGTGTGATTTGGTTTTTATTCGTTAGTGTTTCTGTAACTGGAACATTTTTACAGGATGGGGTAGTTAACCCCACGCCTAACCCCCAACCTGGAGGGCCAGTTGCTGCTTTTCGTCTGACCTCTACTCTAGAAACCATGGTTGAACCTGCTGGGGGGTATAAACCCCCCACCGGTATAGCCTTCAGAGTCACGGAGGCACACAAGTAACCCCACCATGACAAGGTAGCAGCACAGGGGAACTAAGAAAAAGTACTCACGCTGCCTTATTTAAACTGCTCTAGCTGCTTACTCTTTGCTGCTCCCTCTGCAAAACGCATTTGCAACCCTTCTCCACCCCAGCTCCTCCTTTTATGCTGTTATGACTTAATCAGTGTCATTGATGCCAACTCTGTTTTTTTGTTTTTTTTCTGTATTATCCTTGGCTATCCTTGTATACAGGGGAAGGGTAGGAATGTGTGCTGTTCCTGCATAATGCTTTCCACTTAAGCACGTGTAAGGGCAGTGAGATCTCAGAACAGAGCCATACCGCCAAATATTAATAAATAATTGTTATGTATTTTTTCTTGACAAAGTGGTCGTGACTGAACTGGAGTTTTTGGCACTTCTGTGTTTTCAGCCCCACAGGTTGCTGCTGGTTGTATTTGGTCTAAGAGCCTGATTCGTTAGGGACAAATGTAATTTCTCCTTTATAGTTCACTGCATGAAATAATTATCCTTCCCCAAACATAAGTAGCTTTTATGATATCCATTTACAGTTTGACCTGTGGAGGAGTTACAAAGACAGTTTGGAAGAAAGTTAAAAAGTTACTTTTTAAAAGTAAAAATAAATCATATAAGAAAAGTTCATTATCTAAATCTATCTAAATCACATTTACACATGTTCTAATTCATTTTTCATCCTTGTAGTTTGCGTCATGCATTAAGTGAGTTTAAGCTGTTTTGTGCTTAACAGTTATGAGAGAGAGAGAGAGATTTATTCTATGAACAGTTTTTATATATAATTGTATAAAACTGAAACACGGTGTGTTAACACAGGACTTAATGGACTCACTCAGTTTTGTGCTTGTATTGGAGCCACTGCGTAGAGATTAAAAGCTGTAATTGAATTAGACACCACTGCAGAGGGAGGCAGGGAAATGGGGTAAATGGGGTGCGGTGAATGGGGTGCGAGACACAGTCAGACAGGCGTGTCAAAAGAACCAAACTGTGAATCTTCTGTCCTCTGACAGACACCCTGCTGGTGATTTATTGCACACATAATTCCCTGTTCCTTAACCCACTTCACTTTAAATGTACTGTGCAGGATTTCTCTCACTGGGCTCATCGGAGCGCTTATAACAATCCTCAGTACATCAAATATTTTCTCAGATCTCCCCTGAGTATTCACATGTAAAAATGTGTCTAACTAATTAGGCTTTGGTTTGCAGGAAGAAAAAAATACACTTATGGTTCTTGAGGATCAAACTGTTCTAATTCTCAATGCTCAAGCCCCAAAACACCCCTGATGACTCACATGCTACATGTTGCAGGCACTGAATAGAATTAATTTCTTCAGAAAAAAACAAAAACATGTTCAAGTCAGTTAGGATTGTAATTCATACCTGCAGATAGATTAATTTCATTAATGGTTGGGTAGGGGCAAGATTGTTGCCATGGAGATGGACTAGTTTATAAAATAGATTAGAGTCATGCTAGCAACTCTGAGAGTTTGTACGAGCATGATAACATGCTGATGTTTAGCAGGTAGCCTTGCCATATGCACTTTCATGTTAGCATGGTTTATTAAGTAGCACTTAAGTACTGCACACCCTGACAGGGAAGTTGTCAGCTTTAATCAGATATTTATATCTGTCATATATTATATTTAGAGGAATTTTTAACTGGTTTTGACAGACTCTCAAATATATGGTGAAACATTTAAATTACCAAGAAAATCCAACAAGAACATCAGCTATAAGATGACAAAATATATAGTTATTTTTGTTGTCTGTGTCAGCTGTCAGTGGGTCAGATGTTTCACAGTAAGTTGGAGGCTAATTGGTAAAAGAAAGCAGAAGGAGAGCATCCGAGAATACATGTATGTATGTAAACACCTGGCAAAAGTTTTAAGTTTAAGAGCTGCTTTAAAGAATCTTATCTTTTGGAGAATTTGTACGTTTAATGTTGAGATATTAGATGTGATAGAGTTTTGTCCGGCAGGTAATTCACATGTGTTATTAAAAGTTATTTCACGTTACATACACAAATAATGTTAAAATTTGCTGCATTTTCTCTGTGCACCTTTGAGTGAAAAACGAAGGATTTTATGTTCTTAACATAACAGAAATGCTTTTCGAATAAATTATTTTAAATCTCTTTCTTTAGACCTTTTGGTGTCCTATTTTCTATTCTTATTTCAATATGGATGGGTCATTGTTTGTTTTGTCTTTCACTTGGCATAAATGGGAACAGTGATATGTTGTATGTTGTATGCACACACACACAAACACACCCACACCCACACACACACACACACACACACACACACACACACACACACACACTGGGTGAAACCAATCTGACCTTTAATCTTCAAAATGAATCAATTCGACATCTCAAAGCGGGAAAAGTAATAGAAGTGTGACTCTGTAAATTTGTGTGTGTGTGTGCGTGTGTGTGTGTGTGTGTGTGTGTGTGTGCGTGCGTGCGTGCGTGTAAAAATAATTAGAGCGTGAATGAGTCGGAAAGAAGCTGAGATTGAGTAGAGAGAGAAATGAAGACGGCGGTTGCAAAAAAGATGCACTGGTGAAGAGGAGAGGGAGGGAGAGAAAAGGAGAGAAAGGGGTGGAGGGAACGTAAGCGCTCAAAAGTGGGAAGTCGGGGCAGCTGTGACGCACTGGAGCGACAAAGCAGTCGGGATAAAGTGCAATGAAAATTATCCGACTACAATGCAGAGATACAGGAGGACCAATCTTCTAATTTTTCTTCTAATTTTGTTCTTATAGAGACCTGAAGGAGCCAACAAACCACAGGTGTGTGTTTGTGTTTGTCGGTGTCAGTGTGTGTATGTGTTTCCTTTTCCTATACTGAAAGTTATCGTAATAACTCAAAGCATGTTAAGTGGATAAACAAATCCAGTGTGGGAATCTAAACAAAAGTTATTCTGGACACTGTGTTCTGCAGAGGAATAACTGATTTTAAGATTACAGAGTGACAGCCTTGTTGACCTTACATCTGTGGAAAAAAAGAGTGGATTTACAGAACATTTGAGAACATTAAAGAGAGTACTACTTTAGCTTCTATAATAATTCTTCAATAATATGTTTACATTATCAGATTAACACTTGATTGGTGTTGCCATGGTGATATTGCTTGATCTACACTTTATTTCTTAAACAGATTAGACTGCCTTCTTTCTGCATATTACTCCCACTTATGAGCATGATTTCTCTGATAGTTGAGCTGGACACAACCTAAATTGCTGCTGCAGTTCCGCCTGCTGTATTGAAGCCGGTGAGTAAATTTAGGATATCACTAAGTTAAATGGTAATTGTGGAAGATTTTTTTAAATGTAGCTACAGCTTAGTTTGACAGACTTCTAAGGGATAGTTTTCAGATCGTAATTATGTCACAATAAATATGCATGGTAATTAGAAGTCACAGCCCAACACACAAGCTGTTTTCATGTTTGGAGATACGTTTGTTTAAAAAAATAATTAGAGTCTCCTTATTCCCCTTTCATGAGACAAACGCTAACAATAATGTATTCTATGTATCTTACTGTAAAAGTGTGTTACACAGATGTTGTGTTGGACTTCCATTAAGCTGAGGGTCGTCTTCCAAAGACCTCTCTGAAATTAAACTTTGGTTAAAACCTTGTGATGATAATCACTGAGGTGTTAATTTACCCCAAAAGCTATAGGGGAAAATCCTTTCACAGATTCTCCCGACTTCGGGAGATGAAGGGCGTGTGAGAGAAACTTTCTGTCTGATGATTTAAATGGTTGACCTTGTGTTTTCACAGGCTCAGTTGAATCATTTTGATTGGTTAACTGCATTTTACTGTAAATGTTTTGGTGTTGAGCTTTAAAATGGAAATGTTCTCCTCTATTTTTTTTCCATAGGTCACGAAACTGAGTAAACCTCTTGATATTCTGCAACATGTTGGAATTGAACTGCTCCCTTGCTGATCTATTCTCATCTAATTCCACAATTTTCAATGGACCCGGCTGCCCTGATGCTGCTTTGGCATGTGGCATGAATATCTCCTGGGTTCTAGCTAACACTACAGCCAAAGATCTGGATGTGTTGTGCTGGAGGGTAGAGGATTACCTTGCAGGAAAGCTTGGGCTCCAGACATCCCCAGTGTTTCTCCCCATCTGTGTCACCTACCTCACCATCTTCTTGGTGGGGGTACTGGGAAATTCTTTGACTTGTGTGGTCATTTTGCGCTACAGGGTGATGCAGACGCCGACAAACTATTACCTGCTGAGCCTGGCAGCGTCTGACCTGCTGGTGCTGCTGCTGGGCATGCCGTTAGAGATCTACGAGATGTGGCAGAACTACCCCTTCCTGCTCGGAGAGGGAGGCTGCTACTTCAAAACGTTCCTGTTTGAAACCGTCTGCTTCGCTTCGATCCTCAATGTCACAGCTCTTAGTGTGGAGCGCTATGTTGCCGTGGTGCACCCACTCAAAGTCAAACACATGACTACACGAGCTCGTGTCAAGAGGGTGATCTTCATGCTGTGGGTGCTGTCCATGCTGTGTGCTGTGCCAAACACCAGTCTGCAAGGGATTGAGGAGCTGGAGCCATTGTTTGGACGAAGATTTCCCCAATCTGCTGTGTGCAGTAAGTGTTCAAATGTTTTTTTAATTTTTTTATGGACAGTCTACAATGCTAACATGCTGAAGTATTAAGGTTAATAATTTCAAAAACATTCAATCTGTTAATAGTTGCATGTATTTTATCAAAGTGGAGCATTTCAATTAATTTTGACCTGGTTAATACAGAAGAAATAAAGTAGGGGGTCATCCTGTGATTGGCTGTATCACTTCTGACATCACTCCATTTATCTTAATGGTTTAAAGATGTTACCCTGAAACAATAGTTCTACAGGAAACACAATTGATCACAAAAGTAATTTTAGGGTACATAGTGTGGTAACCATAAATGTCTTTTATTTTTTCCCTGGACAGCTGGAAAAATGACCCTTCTCGTCAATTGTATTCATTCTTGATAATTTAGACTGTAGTCTTTTGTGCAATCTGTCGAGGTTTTTAAGAAAATATTTAAAAACCAAAACAAAATGTGGTCAGTGGATTACGGAAGTCAAAGAGTTTATCCTCTGAGAAAATGAAAACCTGTTGCTACATGTATGGTACTTTATCCATCTAATTGTTGCTGACATATTCCAGCCTGGACAAAAGTGTTGTTCTGATACAGCTATCACTGTCAGCAAATCATGTCTCCAAAGAGCGCACAAAGGTTTAATGTGTAATGCAAATGCTACATCTATGCTTGTAATCAAACTGATTAATCTATTCTACCAACCTTTGTCACATCTCTACCCTCAGAAGTGGTTAAGCCCCTGTGGGTGTACAACCTGATCATCCTGATTTCAACACTGGTCTTCTTCCTGCTCCCCATGCTGATCATCAGTATTCTCTACCTGCTCATTGGTATACAGCTGCACAGGGAGAAGGTTTTGACTGTGATTGACCCAAGGTGTAGCTTTGGACCAGAAAGTCTCTCCAAGTCCCACAAGCAGAAGCTGAGCAAACGCAACATGCAAGTCACTAAAATGCTGTGTAGGTGTCAAACCAGCTCCTAAGGAGCAGAAAGCTGTCTGTGACCCAGTCTGTATATGTGGTTTTTGCTAAATTTGAGCCCTGATACAGTTGATGCAGTTTACCTTTTACAGTTTTTATACTTACATGCCCATTTGTTTCAGCTTTTTCTTTGAAATCTGAATCAGAAAGCAAGCTCTGGTGCTGAGATCTATGCCAGTATAGAAGTAACAATGGCTGCAGTTTCTCGAGTGGCCACTTGGGGCGGAGTCCAAAAGTGAGTCAATCCCCATTAGGTTCCATATTATTAAAATTCCCAACTGTAGAACAGAATTAAACATGTTTACAGGAAGGTATAAACAATAGTTTTGGTCTCAGAAGCTTATTTCTTTATTCACAAGAACAATACAAGAACGACTTTATTTGAAAAGTTATACATAATTAGGGGTGTGGTGGTTTTGAGTGACAGGCCGATGATAGCTGTATGTTAGGTGTCAACTAAGCTCGTTCAGCATCAGACAAATAGCATGTTTTGCTGTGTATTTATTTACTAACCGACTGTCCAAGAAGTCCATGCTCCAGCTTTTTTCATTTAGTTACTTTCTATTGTTTAATTGATATCTTGGAACGTGCACAGGAGTCAGGATGATTGTTAGCTTTTACCCACAGAGAAGATAGGAAGCCATAGTGTTGAGAAAACATTCTATTTCAAATTCCCCAGTTGGACTATTTAGAGATTCATGAGATTGAGTGCTATCTGTTGCAATTTGTAAAGCTGTCTTAGCTTCCTTTGTAAAATAAATAAACAAATCTGCCGTTTTCTCCTCAAGTAGAAGTAAAATCTCCTTTTGCGCAACAAATCATAGTTGTTACCATGGCATTTTGCTGGCCAACATATACACCACAACTTGGCACGTGCCAATCCCTCACCTCTGTCTGATTCATGTTGTCCTTCTGGCTGCAGAAAACAAACATGGCAATGGTGAAAAATTACAAACCGCAGGCTTCAAAAAGTCAGTTGACACATAAATGGGCTATATCAACATTTCACAGTCTACAAACCATCTGTCACATTGTCAAGTAACTTACACTTTCCATCGGGTCTGTCCAGGTGTGCTGGTGGTAGTATTCGGATTCTGTTGGGCTCCCTTCCACCTGGACCGCTTGATGTGGAGCTACATGGACACCTCTGATGAGAAGCACATCCATATATTTGGGCCAATCCACATCGTGTCTGGAGTCTTCTTCTACCTGAGCTCTGCCATCAACCCCATCCTCTACAACCTCATGTCCACCAGGTTCAGAGAGATGTTCAGTCACATTACCTGCTGCTCTAAACGCTGGCAGTCTCGCTCCAGCTTAAAGATGACCCAACGCAGCACCTTGAGCGACAGATTGACCAACAGTTTGAAAACGACTTAGGTCAAAGTCAAATAATCTTATATACTGGGCATAATGGTAGCCATTAAACCTTCAAATGGGAAGGACATGAACTGAACAGATATTTCTCTGTAATTGGTATGCCATGCAGATGAAGACAACCAAAAGTTAACCTGAATATATTGTACCAAGTGACATGGGCTACATAACTAGCATTAGCGATTATCTATTTTCTGAACAAAACAGATGCAACTCAGCGCTCAGCATCCTAAGCGCAGTAACATTCTCAACATTGCCTGTTTTTGGTCGCAAACCTAAGTCAACTTTTTGAACACGACCCCGCTAATCGATGATACTTCCCCCCTCACTATTCCCTCACCTACCAATCAAGATCAAGAAGGGGCGGGACTTCCTTATCAACTTTGTCAAGGTAGAAACTTTTCCTCACACTGTTTATCTCATGCACCCAGACTTTTTTCAACAGTACAATTTCCAGGACTAGAGCTGCTGTTAATGCAAGGACATGGCTCCTATCCATTTTTCTTACATATTTGGACTTTTCTTACATATAACAGACTTAACTTAGTTATCTACTAACAGTAGGTGCTGGTGAGAAGCACTCTCAAATTAAGCACACAGGCCCTAAGATAAGAATATTCACATTCTGTACATTACATTTGTTAGTCTGCAAACTTTGACACAGTACCTCAAATTGAATATAGAGAATAACAAAGGTAACAGGTCATAGAGCTAAAAGATGCAAATTGTGATCGAGTAGCAGCAACCTCAGAGGTCAATGTTAGCATGAACAATAAAATGATCATGTAAATGATTCAACAGCGTTTTCAAGCATGGCAAATGTTACCCATGTGTCTAAAAAAAAATAAAAAATTATCTTTGTGAACTCCCAGGCTGTGTTTATTGTGTTTAAATGTGCTGCTTTATAACATTCAAGGCTCACCATTTCACTGCTGTAGAGCTACAAGTTCTAACATTTACTTGCTTTTAGAGCAAAGATTGAATGTACAATGGCTCCTGTCAAAAAGAAAGAATATTTGTCAAAGAACTGGAGTAGATAATGAGAGTTGGTGCAGGAAAGAATGGGGAATACAAATCTGACTTGCTGCTTGTATAACCAGTGAGGAAGGTGATTAATCATGTGCTTTACATATGATAATATATTCTGAAAGTACTTTGCGATCATTACTTGCTTCATGCTACATAGATTTGTTCGATAACTGTATTTTTTTAATTACTTAAATAAAGTAAAACAATTCTATTCATTGTTGTATAGTGTAATCATTTAAGAAAATGTGTCCTGCCAGTGTTGAAGAATTGCTCCCTATAAAAATGTTTTTGCTGTTTTATGTATTGAATGAATTTATTTCTGCAATCTTTATGAAAAATAAAACTGTATATAGGTCATGTGAATATGTATCAAACCTTTTATGAATGCATGGAACCTGATAAGAGTGTTCTTTGCTTCTTAATGATAACATGAATGTTTTACTCTCTATGTACCCTTGAAATGATATACTGTATACTGTTGTTACATAAATTGCTTTGAACATTAAGATGTGCCTGCAGATATAATTTCCTCATTAGTAGTTTGTCTCGGAAAGAAAGGAACATAACGAGTCTTTGTTCTGTTTGAAATGTTCTGACGCCTTACAGGGCCACTAGCTTGACAACTACTTATACATCATTTTAAAGAGGAGCTCTGAATTCAGAAGCACCACAAGGACTTTTCCACTCAGTCGTCTCGTCTCAACTTTGGAAGACACACATGCAGGGGAAATGTGCAGAAATAAAAAAGATGATTATGAAAGCTAAAAGGGAAAGATGATGTCAATGGGGCCATAACCTAGAGGAAATAAAATCATGAATGGCAGAAAGCAGGAGGAGGACAGAAGAAGGCAAGCTCACTGATGGATATTGACAAAATCACTTTATGTTGGCAGTGTTTTCAGCGAGCCACACCAACACTAATGAAAGCAATCTACCCAAAACTTCCGTCACAATAGAAAAACACTGTTTACACAATAGCCCTGTAAATTAACTTGTTTATAGGTCTGCATCATCCAGGTAATGGTATTCATTGAAGAGTGGGATATAGTTATTATTACCCGTGGCTCTTTGATATGACACTATGAAGCATATAATATACCGAACCATGTGAAATTAAACCACAAATCAACTCAAATGTGGGTCATTTTCTATATTATTGACTGAATCAACCACAGAGACATGCCCTCCGTCTCATCCTGGACAGCAGGTACCCTCTCTCTCCCTTTGCTCCTGTGTGACTCAGATCAGACCTGATTTTTTTTACTGACATTTACAAGCACTCGTTACTCATTACTTTATGTGAAACAGCCGACAACAAGTGGGCGCGGTAAAGCTAACGTCAGCACAGAAGCATCCTGGTTGAAAGAATGTTGCGTGTGGCAAACAAACACGCCGTGAGATTTCTATCTCGGAAGTACTGATAGCATTTATCCCTGCTTGAGTGAAATGACAAGAATATAGCAGTGAGTTGAAGGCTATGTGTAGGAAGGAAAACTTCTCTCTCACAAGAAGATGCAGCGAGCTACAACACTTCTACTTAACTAGCTGTCGGAGAGCCGGGTACTGCTGCTCACGTTAGCTCAGCAGACAAGACACTCCATACAAACAGTCAGCTTGATTTAAAACAACACCAGCTCTACGATCTGTAAGCCAGACTATAGACTGATATGTTGACGCGACGTGCTTCATAGAAACTGTTAAGTTTGTTGCCTTTAAAGATCTATTTAGCAAAATACCTACATATCGAAAACGATTGCAGTGTTATTGGAAATGTGCGAGTTGTTACAGCACAATTCTGCCACGACCCTAAATAATGTGATCATTAATATGAGGACTGAAGCAAATAAAGTAACGCTCAAGTTACTTTCCCAACTAACTATAGTTACTTTTATAAAGCAATAACTAAGTTACTTTTTGATAGTAGTAACTGTAACTAATTACTAATTATCAGTGATATGTCAACATTGCAACCCCCCCTAGTTTTCACCTTCATGGTAATAAAAGGTTTATGTGAAGCAATCTATCGATTGTCCTAGCATTTTTCCAACAAACAATTTTGAATTTTGAATCTTAATCCACTTAACTTAATGGTGAAGATCACCTTTATGATAGCGGTAATGCAAAAAGCTATCTTTCAATACTCTTAGAATGAATTATAGCCTGAGAAAAGACAGACAGTATCAGAGACAAGAAAGATATGCAAAGAACATTTGATTCACAGCCAGGATGATGGTATGAGATCTTGAGAAATGGACATGAGTTAAGGTGTAAAGTGGGGAACGAGACTGATACCGATGATTTGATCTGAGCAGCAGTTGAGGAAAAGAAAAAAATTGACATTGTAGGAACCAGAGCGAGGCTGGGCTGCAGTTCCATTGACAACTTGTGAACTGTGAATTGTGGTTTAGGATTCAGCACCAGCACTATGTGCAGCCTGCGGAAGGATGGTTGCTTAAAAAAAATCCCTCATCCAGCAGATGGTTAAAGTACAGTTGTGGATCACTCCACAACTCTTTCTTTAAAAAATGCAGAAAATTAGATTTGAAATGTGTTGTTACCTGAAGAAATGATTTTTCTCCTCTGGCTGCAGTTAATTAAGTTGATCGTCTCCTTTGCTATCATTACACTAGTGCTCACTAGTGCGAACAGGAGCCTGCAAGGCTATACATCGCTTCCTTTAGCGGGCAGCTGTGGCTCAGTTGGAGTCGTCGTTTGTTTCTCAACTGGAAGGTCGGGTGTTCAATCCCAAGCTCTGCTTTGTCGATATGAATGTGTATGAATAGGATTAATTAATACTGATGGACATGTTACATCATCAGTGTGTGAATGGGTGTGGTCTCGGTGTAAAAAAGCACTAGTCAAAAGACTAGAAAAGCACTTTACAAGCACAGGTCAGTTTACCATTTAATGTTTTCTATTTCCAAACAGAAATAGGATAAGACACTGCTCTTTTTTGTTAACTATTTGTGATTAAAGATTAAGGATTAACTCTTCTGACTTTGTTGACCGCATGAGTCTATTTCTATTGATGTTCTCAGGGTAACTTGTTCCGTGGGTCCAGTATTGGGAAAAGTACTTGAAAATCATAGTTGAGTAAAAGATACCGATCACTTGAAAGTTTGTTCGCTAAATGTTAAAGTCACCTTAAAGAAAATTGCTTAGGTCAAAGTCTTTAAGCCAATTAATGTACTTACACATTACGTAAATTCAAGCAGGAAGACTGGTTATATTATCTCACACATTTATTCAATTTCTTCATTCAACTTAACAACTCCCTCTCTACCACTTCCTCTGTCTCCCTGCTCTGGTGATCAGCTGATTTTGGGCGTTTACTCTTTAAGTACAATTCTACAATTCACTTAGCAGACACTTTTATCCAAAGCGACGTACATCAGAGAGTAAGAACAACACAAGGATCTAGAAAAGAGGAAACAATGTCAGTAAGTGCAAACTATTCTTGAGAATGATCCATGAGAATGAAGTCGTAAATTAGCGAGTTTTAGAGCAGTCTGCGCGAAAATGATGAAAGTCTTTTCCTCTGCAGACAACTTCCTCCATGTCAGTGTGGTTCTTTCTTCAGTTTCTTGCAGTATCTTTTCAGGGTGCTGATATTTTATGACAATGTGAAGATGATGATGTGCTAAAGCATGTATAGTTTCATATCTGCAAAAGTAAACAGCACAACTATTTGTGTCGTTATAGGTCTGCCTTGTTAAAGTGTCTCATGTGCAGAGCCAGTTTGTGTCCTGTTCATCATTTTACAGATAAACAAGGTCTTGCAAGTTGAAGTGAAAACGTCTCTTGAACTGTTTTTACCAACTACAAGGAAGTAGCCTATTTCCTTATTAGTGAAACCTTTAGGACAAGATGCTCCATGTTTGTCATTTGAGAACAGGATGCTGCTGATGTTCTGATATAGACTAAAATAACGACTTTATTCTTTTATTCTTTAAAGACTTTAAGAGTTCCACTTTCATCATTATGCGCAGGCTGGTCTCGAACTCGTTAATTTCCGAGATTATTCTCGCAAATTTACGACTTTATTCTCGTAAATTTACTTTAATCTCATAAATGTATGACTTTATTCTCGTAAATTTACGAGTTTAATCTTGAAATATTTTTTTTTTTTTTTCAACTTGGCCCTAATCCTCCGTCGGAGCAGACAGTATGTCCTCCTTCGACGTTTAGATTCGGTTCCGGAACGGTCTGTATTTGTTTTGACCAGAGGCGGTTTTAAGGCACCCCCACAAGGCCATTTTGGACGTCCCTCAGTACATCAGATTTGTGACCAGTCTCACAACAAACCCACAGGCGTTCAGATAATTGATTCTACCCGACCTAAAACACCTCAGCATTTCACTAAAAATCTCCACGACCAGAAATTTTGTGAAACTAGGATACATCTCTAGATTTAAATGGAGAGAGGTAAATTTAAGATAAAATGCAGGTTCACATTTCACATTTATTTTTAGTTGATGTCAGATCATTTATGACATAATGGTGATGAACGCTGTTGAAGTTTTGCCTAGGGCCCCAACAGACTCTAGAATCGCCACAAGGAGTGATCGGATGATTTACTATGCAACATTTGCAAGTTGATTATGAGGTAAAAACCTGTGATGAGTAAAAATAATTGTTTATGAAATGTTTTTTTGTGAATTTTTGTAAAATAAAATTGTGACAATACAAAACATGGGGATCAAGGGACATGGTAACTTGTAGGGATGATCCTCCAGCACCACCACGATGATCATATGTTTGGAGAAAGACCACAATTATATATCACTGTTTGTACTAAAAACTAATTTAAAGGTCACACATTATGCAAAATACGTTTTCCATGTTTTTCTAACACTAATATGTTTCCCTAGCTAGTCTACAAACCCCCAATTATTAAAAAAAGTCCATCCTGTCCGTCTTTTGCCTGCTCCACTTTCAACAATGTGCTTAAACAGGCCGTTTGGAGATTTTTGGTTTGTGACATCACAAAGGGAATTAAACTCCTCCCCCAGGTGTGTGACACTCCCTCAGCTAGGTGTTTGTTCTGTCCTCCGAGTCTACCTTTCCACCATAAGACAATAAGACATGGTGCAAGAAGGCCCAAGCTTCCTAAACACTTCCTGAGAGGGGCGGGATCGAACACAGGGGCTCATTTGGGGCGGCAGTGGATCAGTCCACAGGGACTTGGGTTGGGAACTGGAGCATCGCCAGTTCAAGTCCCAGCACGGACCAAATCTGGAAGATGGTCTGGCAGCTGGAGAGGCGCCAGGGCACCTCCCGAGCACCGCAGAGGCGCCCCTGAGCAAGGCACTGAATCCCCAACCTCTCTGGTGCGCTCTCTGCTTAGCAGCTTGTAGCAGCCCCACTCTGACATCTCTTCACTAATGCATGTTCACAGGTCCTGTTTGTGCATGCGTGTGATTCGGGCCTATGTGTGTGAGAAGCATGTCCCTATAAATAACAGATTGTAACAGAGCAGGGCAGGGCATGTTTATAGACATGATAA